CCCCCCCACTTGGACTATCTGTTTCTGATTAGGCCTTCGAATGGCCTTTACTTATCATTTCTTTCATTATTAAAAAGCAACTTAACAGCTCGGGTGGTCTTGGCATTCCTGGTATTAAAAAGCACTTGCCGGAGTAATGCAGCTGTAAGTAATGTCCCTTTCATAAACTGGTCATAGGTTTGAATCCGCCAGAAGGGAAGGCAGTTTGTCTCATGTTTCGTTTATTTTTTTAGTGGAAAATTGGTATTCTTAGCAGCTGACACCGGTTTTTTTCCAAACAGTCGTCACAAAAGGAACTTGTCGAAAAAAAAGCCAGCAAGGTGGTTCCTTTTCGTACTATCACTCGGACCATTTTTGAGTGCCTTTGCTACGGGGAGGGATTAAATGTGGGGATGCTGTCTTTAATTTTATTTTTTTTAATTTAATTTGAAAAAAAATCTAGAGGAAATATTTTTTAATGTAATATTTCACCTAAGAAAAACTTCGATTCATCAAATTTATGTTAAAAAAAAATTCTAAGAAAACATACAGTTAGGCTATATGGTAATCCATATTTGATGAGAAATTCGATAATTTCCGATCTTGTGAGTCTCTCTGAAGTGCTTGGCGCAGACGAGAGTGCCTCCTCAGTTAACTAAAAAATGTATTAATAGACGAATTATTACGATTTTGACTGAATCACATTACCTACATCAAGGACCCATGAGCGTCCTCACATCAAGGTCTTCATCCGCCATGACAGCGAACGAAGTCCTTTGTGCTACGAAAAAACCGTGAAAAGCCAGCAAAGAAAAAACCGTCACAAAGACAAAGATGCGTACTGGCTACAGGAGGAAGCAAAAAAGGCGCATTTTGTCTTGAAACGCGGATACACAGTAGATGTGCTGTCAAGTTCTGACACCAAAGCACAAGGGCCAATAGTGTAGGGGGTAACACAACACGTCCGAGTGTGAAGGGGAGAGGTTCGATTCCCTTCGTGTGCACAACAGTTTTTGAAAGTTTCCGTTCACGACACTCACCGTCCCAGGTGGAATAAGAATGTAAGAAATTAACTAATAAAGTAAGACAGTTTGAAAAAAGTAATGTGAAACAATTAGGCAGAGAAGTCAAGTAAAAGCGACGAATTTGTTCGGACGTTACGAAAAAATTCCTACGCAAAAAGAAAAAGAAAGCAAGAAAATAAAGAATTAGTTCCATTTTGATGACAAATGTCATATTCGTCACAAGCAGCAAAATTAAGGTGCCTTTTTCTGCTCTGTACCCATGGAATTTGTTACATGCTATCAGTGCGGTACCTTACAATTGAAAGGCACCGCAGAGGTTGGAAAATCACTTCAATTAACGGATAAAGAGAAAATGATGTAGAAAAAAGTGAAGAAGGAGAAAAAACGATGAAAGAAAGAAGTGGGAAAGGGAAATGAGAGTATAGAAATATTTGTAATGAGTAAGAAATGTTTCAGTCCATTAAGAGTCGTATACATTTTCTTACCATTACCCACAACTGGACCTTGCTAGTACGACGATTGTGGTGACAAATATTTAAAAAAAAAAAAGGAATCACAGTTGAGTAAGGCTGCAGTCAAGTTATATGGTTAAAAAAATAACCAGAATAACTCAAAAATTTCAGTAGCGTTTTTGCATGCCATGTCTTGTAGGGCGAAAAGTAATTTTCTGATGCTAATCATACATTATGTAACGAGTATCATCGATAATCCAGATCAGCTCAAGCAGGAAATTTTAACATGAAAATAGTGAGCTATGCCATAGAAACTTGAGAATAATCTTACCTTTTGCCCGCTTTTTGCCTTCTCAGCAACCGCATGACGTGTAAAATCACGAGCGATATTTTCAAAACTACACTGACTCGCGTATCTCTACAAAATCATTTTAAAAAATTAATAAATTTTATTAAAAAATTTGCATTTTTTCAATGAGCGAGCATTCGCCGCAAAAACGAGCGAGCTTCGTGCGATTTGAAATCTTTTAGTCGCACATGAGTAACGAACATTCCCTTAAAATTCCAGCCTATCAGCTTTTCTCATATGCCAAATGTATTCCTGCATCCATGAATTCTCATTATCCCTGGCAGATACGCGTCATTATTATTCTTCTAACCGGTTCTCTGTTAAGAATAAAGAGAAAGTGGTAGTAAAAAAAAATCGAAGATTCTTCCCCCCTCCTCAGCCCCTTAGACGCTAAACACCATTCTCGCCTTCTGAATATTTTTGTGCCACAATCCGAAAACGATATCGCCTACGTTTTTAGACTGAAGTTCATCAAAATTTAATAAAAAAAATTAGGTTTTTAAAAATGAAACGAACCAAACAATATTTCTGTGAACTGCTTGCTTTTTCGATCGATGCTTTCAATCTGTAGATCCTCCAGGGTTGTGCAATAGCTTGTCTTCCGTATGAATTCATTTGTACTGGTAAATTCTTCCGGGATTATACCATTAGTAGTAAAATATCAGCATTTCCCGCAATCAGTCAGTATCCTTTCTGTTAATACAGTTGCCACATTTCTGAAAAACGAGAAAAATGGAAAAAGCTGTAAGGTTTATATAGGCGGATCCGAGGGGTCTTTCGCCCCTACCTCCAAACGGAAACACAGGCATCATTGCTGCAGAAGCCCGGGTTAAAAGCTAAAATTAAAGTAAACTAAAGCCTGAAGTAACTCTAAGTAACAGTGTGTTACAACTCTATTCCTAGTTCCTGAGTATTCCAAGTTGGGACAGAACCCTCCTTCCCACCACCCGTCGCCCTTTCCTCCCCCAGGAGTCCATCTTGGATCCGGATGTGATTGTTTATGCTCCCGTTCCTGAATTAGCTCCCACCTAATAGCTGGCAACTTCTCCACTTACGATTTCATATTTTTCGTAATCACATCGCTCTAAAAATTTGAGTTCTCCTTTTGTCAATATGGTGTCTTCATCACGATCTATGAGTGACGATACTGAGGACACATTGGCAGTATTATTTATAGTCCACGAGTCCACGATTTATAGTCCACGATCGCCTAATTTCTCAGTATAAAATGTATATAAAATTATAGTGAACAATATGGATTCACTGTTCGGGCAGAAAATGGAAAGTACATGAAATAAAAATTTCAATCTTTATTGCTATAAGCCTATGAAAGCAGTACAAAACCATCACAATCTAGTTAATATTATCAGTGGCGTACATGAAGAAGAACAGAATCCCCGCTGGTTTTTTTTTTTACTTTTTTTTGTGAGGAAAAAACAGAGGTAGGGTTCCGAGGAAGAGGGAAACCCTGAAAGTGTTAATGGGAGGGAAATATACAAGAGAATAACTCAGCTAGCGCGAAATATGGTCTGAGGGACGCAAAATTCAGCAGAAGTAGCAAAATTTAGCTGTAGCGTACATGAAGGAGAGCAGAATCCGCTGAATTTTTTTTTTCCTTTTTTTTTGAGGAAAAAGAGAGGTCGAAACCTAGAAAAGGGATCTCCGAAAGTGTCAACGTGAGGGAAATATACATGAGAATACGTCAGCCGGCGTGAAATATGGCCAAAGAGACACAAAATTCAGTCAGAGGCATAGAGATTTTTAACAAAATTTCACAAAATTGCACTGAAGAAAGCTGCTAAAACCGTAGTTTTGTGTTGAACAAGGCCTCCTAAGCAAGGTATCAGGAGGAACACGAGGCACCAAGGTTAAATGCGTCTTTTTTTTCCTCTTCTTCTTGGAAATCAGGTACGTCACTGTATTTAAAATAACAGCAGCACTGCTACAAAAGCATACTCGAGAAATACAGGAGAAAGCCGAAAAAATAAGTTATTATGGTAGCATAAATGCAGCAGAAATTTCTTGAAAAAATACAAAAATTTGCAAGCACCACTTCAACAGGCAACGTAGAAAATGTAGCACCACAGCATAAATAAAAGGATTTGACTTAGGTGTCATGCGTGACAGGACATTTTACGATGCAGTCTCTGTGTTTCATCCTTTAGCTGTATACACAAAAGACACACTGCTTAATCGGATGAGATGAAAGCTCACAGATCGGCATGCTCATTTAAAAGTTTCACTATGTCGTCCTCAATGTCGTTCGGCTGTGTCGTTGGCGCATAACGATTTACCTGCAAAAAAAACAGAAAGTAATTTGTGCGAAACGAAAATCCGGTGCAATATTAAGATAGCATGCGCCTAATCTGCTATAAAAAACCAGCAGAAATCGACCCTAAAAAAATTAAAAATAAAATTTTACTCTAACATTTCGTTCAGTACGAAAATTTACTGCAAGTGAAGTAAAATCGCAGTGATGCAAAATCGTAAAAAATGGAGAAAAAATAGTCATAGAGACGGGAAATTTTACGAGGAACTGCTAGAAAAAAAACATAATTTCATTAAAAATTAGCAGAATCCGTCCAAAACAGCATTAAAGGCAACTAGATACTTGCAAAAAATCCATAAACATAAACTTCCCAACAAAAAGTTCTGTCGTTAAAAAAATCTTGAGTTGTCTGAGGGTTGAAGCAACTCAAAAACAAGGAAAAGCATTAATAAAGCGGCTTACCACTTGGCCATTTCTGTCCACAAGGAATTTCGTAAAATTCCATTTTATATCATCGCCCAGCGTGCCACCTTGCTGCTCTTTCAAAAATGCGTACAACGGGTGCTCAGTGGGCCCGTTCACATCAACTTTCGCATAAAGGTCGGGCTCGAAATTGAATGTATTTTTGATAAAGCGTTTGATTTCGTCTTCACTCCCTGGTTCCTGAAAAAAAAATATTTGTTAACACATCCAGCGGACGTTTGCCTGCTAAAGATTTTCACTGTTTTACACTTTGGTCTGTGAAAAAATCGTTGATGTGCTGTTTGGTTACTATTACAGTACAAAACGCACAATAAGTGGAGCAAAAATTACTTTTGCTAATTGAATTAGAGAAAATTGATTCACCTGACCACCGAATTGATTGCATGGAAAAGCAGCTATTGCCAGGCCACGGCTCGAATATTTGTCATAAAGTTGTTTCAGTTGATTGTAATTCGTATTTGTAAGACCACATTCCGATGCTACGTTCACTATCAAAACCACTTTACCCCTGAACAACCATAATTAAAAAATTTTTTGGTACTGAATTTATTAAAATATGCTAAACCAATAGTCAACACTGTTTGAGCATAGGATTCTTTGACTGTAAAAGAGTACAATGGGAAGAAAGAGGAAGCAATTTTGATGAAGGAGGAGGAAGACGTAGTTTTAATGAAACATCATGATTTTTTTAAAGAGAAATTTTCTGATTAATTCGGTCCAAAATTTGAAAAAAGAACCCGGAACAAAGTCATATTCATAGCACGTGGGACCATACTAGAAAAATAATAATAAGTAATAAGTAATATTAGTAAGTAATATTATAAGGAATATTATCTAACAACGTCAAAAAAGCCTCTAGACGAAGTGCTGATGATACACCGATGCTTGCCTGTTCGCTTTGTTCTGTATGTTTTCAGCTAAGGGATGAAACACAGACGGCATCTTTCACGTAACTGATTGTTCTTCTGTCTAGAGGCTTCATCAACTTCAGTTCCAAAAATATGAAATTTTGCTTATTGCTAGCTGCACAGAAAACAGTTCTTCCAGGTATTCCGGGTATGCCCACGAATGATGTTAAGCAATTCTCGAGATAAACTCAGCCAGTATCTCATTCTTATCCTTTCCATACGAGGAAAATGCCTCCCCCAGCCCCTCCTCCCCTCACACCCTTTTCCATGTCCCTCGCCAATTTAATTCGCTTGAATCCCTTAAAAACTACGATAATGAGGGGCAAGCAGAATAAATTTCACGGTGATGGCAGTACCATTTGTAAATAGCTCTACACGAAAATATATCCGGTGCAGAAAGCACTCGTAGGAAAGAAACCTAGACTTGGTGCTTTAGCGCAGTGTTTCATGAAGAATAACTGTGAGAAATATTA